TCTCACAGGATGGAACAGCTTTTGCTGGCAGGTTGACAGAGGGAGAGAAGACCCATCAAACATCTTCCACACCTTGGCGAAACAAGCACCAGGTCATACATTCCAATTTTTCACATATTTTCTAAGTCACATGTTGACCAAAGAAGCAGTTACCACTCTTATCAGCATGTAGAGACCATTTCAGTCTTTAGCAATACTCCTCAATGGACACAGCAAGAATTACAGTAAACCTAAAAAACAAAGCCCTTCGGTTCTGAGCATAAGGCTTCTAGAAAAATCTTAGATGAGAGAATTTCACCAACACAGCACTTAGACAATAACAATATGTATTCCTTGCTGGACGAGTGCCATTATTTGTTGTGACTGCAGTTATCGCTATTCATCTCCTATTTACATACCAAGCAAATACATACCATACTTTGTGACAGCACACTGAAAATAAAGTCTGTGCTTAGAAGAGTTTTAACACTTCTCCAATGACAATTTAGTTCTATCAAATATTTAAGAGCAGAAGCAATGTGTGCTGGACTTGTTTGGAGCAAATATTCATGTGGAACTGCAAAGAAAAAAAAAAATCACCCTTCCACCGTCCAAGACCAACATCATAACCCAAAAAAGTAACTAATCAAACAAGATTTCACTACAATGTTGAAAATTTGTGATTTCCGGGCATCAACCTCCATCCCTGGGTGATGGAAATACAGAAAAGGAACAAAAAGATGTGAGTAAGGTGATTGCCAAGTCGTGAAGATTTTGTGCACAAGTTATCTGCAGGCTAGGCTCTATCAAGACCTATCAAGACCTGCATGCTCTTACAGGAGGACCAGCAAATTATATCATACAGCAGCACAATTATTCAGTTCTCCAGAGCATTCCAGAACATTTCCTCAATACATCCTGCTAATTCAAACTCTACAGCTTGTTTCAATTCCTTCAAAGAATTAGGCCTTTTCACTATCTACCAGCTGACTAGAAAGTAAGAGCTTTTGAGGGACTCTCTGAAACACCAAGAATTTCTACATGAAAGCTGTCTCCTCTTTCTGAGAGAACAAACTGCATCTCCAGCTTATTACTTGAGGTTGCATCATCCTTTGCCGTTGTGATAAGTTTTGCCAACTATGAGCCACTGAGTCATTGATTCAGCAGCAGTTGTATGCGAATGGGTCATCTGAGTCCATGGAGGAGGGACAGCGGAGGAAGGAGGGCTTGCCTACACACCAGCTGTTAAGCAGTCAGCACAGCAGAAGAATGGCATTTTTCCTCGCGTTCGAATTACTGACACCATTGGTTTGCATAGGCTGATGCAGGGAACCTCGCTGTGGGCACTGCCCTTGTGCTGTTGGAGCCCCTTTCTGATGAGCTGGCATGGAAGACACACGGCACAACATACGGGATTTGACCTGAATCTTCACTCAATCACTAAAGATTACCTAAGACGTAAAGACAGAGGGCTTTTCTCTGCTACAGTGATGCAACAGTTCCTGTCTCAAGCTGCTGACTGCAGCTTTCCACTTGCTGTTGACTGTGTCTGAGTGTTGATGCTGGTGCTTGAACTGGTTCTTTCAGCTGTATCGGAGTGTGGCTGGAAAGGGGCCCACAGCAGCGTGGAGGTCCAGCGAAGCACTCAGCCACATCCCTTCTCACTCAACTATGGCCAGCAAGGGAAGAGTTGCTGCTCTCCGGCAGCCCTAGGGCAACGCAGGGCTGAGCTGTTCTCATTAACCTGCCCTAAATCTATAACCAACACAGTACCTGCAGAAGAGTTTGTCCTGCTGACACCGCGAGGAAGTGGAAGAAAGAGACAGTCATTACTTGGTCAAAAAGTAGCAGAACTGATAAATCAATCAGCACAAAACGGATGTGGTGAGAGAAGATGTCACTTATTACTTCCTTTTTTGATGTCTATGCTTGAGCATTTCTCTAGAAACAGAAGAGACTGAGGAAACAAAGTCCCATCTAACTCCTCGAGCAGAACTCCAGCAGGACATGTTTTGGAGATAAATAGCTTTTTGATCTCACGCCCAGTGACTTTTATGATCTTGGTACACACTGCTCAATCTTGGTTCCCTGCTTCCAAGATTCAGCTCTAGAAGTCATGCACATTAGTGAGAATCTTTGTTTTTATCTGTGAAAACCGTAAGTTTGTTGTCCCATCTCACCCACTGGGGCTAGGAGATGTTTAAAAAAATCATTTTATGAAGTTGAAATAATGGCTAAAAAAGAAGAAAAAATAGGCAGCTATGCCATTTAAGCAATTCATTTTAGCTACCTGTTCTGTTTTCTTCTTTTAATTGCAAGAGCGAGGCATTTCCTAAGGACTGTCCATGGGTAGAAATAGTCGGACTGCTGCAAGAAAAAAGGGTTCTGCACACAGCTATACTGAAGCTTAGTATTCCACTAGCTAGAAAGCTGTATCTCAACAGGTAATGTAGTTCAAGCTTCTAGCTTCATTACCCTACAGGGATTTGGCCCACATGCACTTTAGGTGCAAATGCAAAGGCTACTCAAACTCTTCCTAAGTTAATGCATGTAAGCATAACTCAAAAGTAATTGCAGCAAAATGAACTATTTTGCATTTTACTCTGGAACAGAATAAGCACTACAAAAGGCATGCACCTAGCTGGGACTCCCAAAATGGTACACACAATACAAAGGTACATCTTTCCTCATCTTCATGTCTAACTTCTGAGAAGGACAACGAGGATATGAAAAACTGCAGGGGGAAGAAACTTCCTAAAATTAATATTCTAGTAGTGGTATTTGTTAGTATTCTCAGCAGTTTCTGCAACAGGTACTTCAGGGCAGAGAACAGTTCGAAAGCAGCCCTGAGGAAATGGATTTGGGGGCATCTGTTGATGAGAAACTCAACATGAGTCAGCAGTGTGCACTTACAGCCCAGAAGACCAACTGAATCCTGGATTGCATCAAGAGAAGCGTTGACCAACAGGTCAAGGAAGGCGATTCTGCCCCTCAACTCTGCTTTTGTGCCACCTCACCTGGAGTGCTCCATCCAGTTCTGGGGCCCCTGACATAACAAAGATGTTGAGCTGTTGGAGCAGGTTCAGAGGAGAGCCATGAAGACGATCAGAGGGCTGGAGCACATCCTCTGTGAGGTCAGGCTGAGAGATTTGAGGCTCTTCAGCTGGGAAAAGAGAAGTCTCTGGGGGAACCTTACAGCAGCCTATCAGTACCTGAAGGGGGCCTCCAGGCAAGCTGAGGAGGGACATATTATAAGAGCAGATGGCGATAGAATGAGGGGTAAGGGCTATAAACTGGAAGAGGGTAGATTTGGAGTAGGTATAAGGAACAAATTCTTTACTGTGATAGTGGTGACACACTGGAACAAGTTGCTGAGATAAGCTGTGGGTGCCCACTCACTGGAAGTGTTCAAGCCCAGCCTGGATGGGGCTCTGAGCACTGGTCAAGTGGGAGGTGTCCTTGCCCATGGCAGGGGAATTGGAGCAAGGTCTCTCAAGGTCCTTTCGAACCCAAACTATTCTATGATTCTATGATTCTTCTTGTTTTTCAACCTAGGAGACATGACAGCTTATTTCTAAACTGGTTTTATTTGGTAGGGACTGGATTAATCATCCACATTAGACCTATTTTATTTCTGGGCAAGAATAGTTCCTACTAGCCTTCCTGCTGCCCATCTTCCTCAACACCAGAAGCATTCACAGAATAAAGAACAGCTACTGACAAGGGAAGAACTAGGCAGAGCCTTGGTTAGCCCTGCCAACAAATGCTATATGGCTGAGCTATACTCATTTTAGTTTACGGAAACGAGACTGTTTTACTTGTGTTCCCATGCGTATCTAGTGGCAGTGGAACATCCCAGGGTTAGATTTCTTCTGTGATATGAGTTTAAAAAGCAACAAAATGCTGGATGTTGAAAACGTAGACTATTCTGGATTCTTTTTAGCATTTTATTTCTTTTCACACGCCTTTCCCAGAATAGGAGACTTGCTCTCTGCCTCTGTGCTTACGTCAGCCCAGAGTACCCCTCCCAGACAGCTTGTGGAATCGGAGTATAAGCTTCTTGGCACGTGTTCCTTTTCCGTTTGATCTACACATCAGAATGAAAAATGAAACCTGCATGCTTGGAAACTATTTTATTCTCTCAGTTTCCCCAAATCTTACACTGAGCTACTACTAGATGACTAGCAAGCACAGTGAGGAAGATAAAACATGAGTTTTCTAAAGCTGGATTCTTACACATAAGCGTTAATACAGAAGACATCTCAGTCTGATTTATGGATACCAGAATTATAGTCTAAACCTATAGCTTGGATCATTTAAAAAACAAATACATCTGAAGGAGATAAATGACCTAGAGCTCCATCCACAAGCTATGGGAGAGAGCAAAGCCACAAGGAATGATGACACCTGAAAAGATCAGTATAAAGCATTCGCTCAGAAGTGCAATTCAGTGAAAGGACTGTTTCACATTCTCTAGAAATGCAAACACAGTTCAGGCTCACTAGTTCATGAAACCTCACACTCTTAAACCAAATGGAGAAGCCTCTGGTCTCCAGCCTTTACTCAACAAAGATTTATTAGCAGATTACTTGAGGGAGGTCTCGCATTACAGAAGTCAAATTAATGCCTGAAACGACACATTGGCGTGGCTGGCTACTTCACACCAGGAAAGATTTGCCTAAGGGCTTCTGAATCAAGCCATGCCTGCCATGCTTGCTGTCACTTTGTGACACACTGTCCCCAGTATAAAATATAAAACATCACAAAGCCTAGCGCATATACATAGACTTATGCTTAATTGCTGCTTATTCATAAGTCTACGTACTATGGAAGTCCCAGTGGTCAGGGTGAGTCGGCTTCCACCTGAAGGCACTGAGATTTAGCAACACCTGCAGCTCCAAGTCATGGAACCGAGAAGCCCAAGACAACTCCAAGGATAAAAACAGGTTTCTCCATGCTCAGCACGAAAGCCCGTTGGAAAACCCTGTGCCCCCATGTTCCACAACCCACCACGGCCCCACCTGCAGTACACCAGGCACTCCATGTGGTTGATCTCCTGGTCGGAGCGGTAGCGGCTGTAGTCTTCCCACAGGTCCTTGATGGCCGTGACCGCCAGGATGAAGAGCACGGGAGCCAGGGCCAACTCGGGCTGGAAGGCGTTGACGGCCGGCACGAAGTTGAGCAGCGCGATGAAGACGAAGTAGACATTGGCCAGGCGGTGGAACTGCTCGAAGAGGTTCTTGGGCAGGAAGGAGAGGGCCGTGTACTTGGTGGTCTTCAGGCGATTGCCGGCCAGGGCGGGCCGCTTGGATTTCTCCGCCTCGGTCTCAGGTGGCAGCAGGCTGGAGCGCACCAGCCGCGTCTTGCTCTCCTTCTTCTTCCTCCTCCTCCTCCTCTTCCTCTGCCTCTCCTTCCCCTCGGGCCGCACCTGGGGCTCTCCCTCGCTCCCCGCCGCGCCCCGGGACATCTCTGCCTCCCTCGGAGCCGCTCTCGCCCGGGACGGGGCAGCGCGGGCAGCTCCCATCCGAGGCACGGCCGCCCGCCCTCCCGCCCTAAGTTATCATCCTCGGCCGCTCGCCACGACTCTAGCTTTCCTCTTCCCCTCCGGGGGGGAGGGAGGAGGGCTCTTTCAAAACCTCTCCTAACTGATCGGCTTGGCCCCCGCTCGCTTTCTCCTCCTCCTCCTCCTCGGCCGGGGAGGGGACGTGGGCAGGAGGCGAGCCGAGCCCTCCTCCCTCAGGCGTCGCCCCGTCCCGTTAGCGGCACGCCGCGGAGCCGGCCCAGGGCGCGGGGGGACGCGGCGGCCGCCGGCCCGTACAGCATGGCGCGGCCGCCGCCACGCGCTTCCGTCCGCCCGTTGGCGGGATGAGGACGGGGAGCGGCACCGGGACGGAGCCGCGGGGGTGGGGGGAGGAACGGGGCGGCCCCGCCACCGGGGAACTTAGAACGAGAGTGGCCTCTCGCCCGCGCGCTTCACCGCTGCCGTCGTTTGCCCGGGAAGGCGGCTCGCCCGCGGCCACCCGTGAATGCGAGGCGGCGGGTGCCACGTTCTCTGTCGCCTCTGACTTTCCATTACGCGTACTGAGGTGGCGGCGGAGAAGGAGGTTTGCGTTCCGAAGGAGAAAACAGAACTGCCGCTGAAGCGCTCGCACGGCTGCGCCGGCATTTATCGCAGCTCCGCAGCCGCACGCAGCGCCGCCCCGAGCCCGGCCCGCGGCCTAGCGGCCGCAACGACACCTCCGAGCTCCACGCAATGAGGCGGCCGGCGAGGTGTCATTCTTTTTCCCTCTGATTCGCAGTATGCTTGTCGTTACTTTGAGATGCGTGTAGGTGATTATGAACCTCTTCTAGGCCCCGAGGCACTAGGTGGGTGCTAATTCAGCACGCATTAGTTTTGAATGAAGCCGCTAAAGCAGAGTAGTTGGCCAACCCTGCTGTCAGCTCCGGTGTTGCTGCAGGGGCTTCTTGGATTTCCCAGCTTATGGAACGTGAAAGCACCAATGGGTTGGGTTTTGTCAAGGGAAACTGGGATAAATGCCCTGCCTGTCTCAAGTCTGTCGGTAAAGGGGCGTGTATAAAATTGTCACCCTGCACTGCGAAAAGGAGACCGAAAGCCTTCCAGTTTTAGTTTCCAATGTCTTTTTTTTGGGCCTTGATTAACCAGTTCCTGACTTGCATAGATGTAGAATTAACTTCGTGGATGAGCTGGATTGAGCAGAAATCCTTGTACCATGCTTTGGAAATGCTGACATGGGATGACGAAGGAGGGCACAGTACCCCTCTGCAATGGACCCAGAAACCAAGCTTCACTCACCTGTGGGCTGCTTGAAGACATCTGGGCCGACATCCGTAAGAACTCTGCTTCACCCCTGGGCACCAGGAGTTCAAACACAGGATGAAGCTGTGGCCCTGGATGTTCCTCAGTCAGGCTATTCACAGCATGTCTGAGCAGAGGGTTGCTGCAGGCGCTGATGCTGATGGGTGGCACACATTTGGGCTTGAGAAGCAACAGGACTTTGTTGGAATAGTCATGGGCTCTTTTACTCGAGGTTCATGTTAACTGTTCTTCCACACATAGAGGAAGAACAGGAGAGAAACTCAGCATTAAGATACTAATCAGCAGCTGAATATTCTTATGTAATCCTCAGATCACATAGCTGAATTTCACATTGATACAACAGCAGAAAGATAACAAGCACCTCAGTGGGAGCCTCTGAAGACTTTTGTGTTTGTTTGCTAAAACCTTAATTTCAGAATGGCTTAAAGCCATTTTATTTGAGCACACCAGAGTCAAGGGTCATCCTTGAAAAGCTTCACCATAAAAAAAAAAAAAGAAAGAAAGAAAGTATGCAATACCTCGCTGGTCAAGAGCTGAAAAGCACTTATTGTCTTTCTTTGATGCTAGTAAAATGCTTTTTTGTTAATATGAGCAAACTGAAATAACACCAGGTACTCAACATTTTTCCACTGGCTACAAGAGCCTCTCTGTCACACGAGGAATCCAAAGTCCTGGAAATTAATCTGCTATTAATAAAAACAAAAGAGCCATCTTTAAACACCTATGAAATCCAGTGTCTGCCAGGCTTTGCTAGCCAAGGTGTTGCCAGTAAGACACTGCCAAGAATTCAGCCTCTCCTTTCCCTTTCTAAGTAAAACACTGGTCATAAGGTTCAGGAAGGCATAAGTGGGGGTTGGATCAGATGATCTGCAGAGGTCTTTTCCAACCCCTATGATTCTGTGATTCTGTGAAGTGTTTGTATCTGAACTCACATCTGAACTCTCTCTGTCCACATTGTCCAACTATGTGAGGCCACAAATATGAGGGAGGTTACAGATTTGGCCTTCAACCTGTGCAACACATACGTGTGCAAGTCTGACCCTAACTTTTCAATTGCAGAAAGTCAAGTTGTTAGTTAGGACACACTTGCATCTCCTTTTTATGGAGTCTTTTGGAAGAAAGGAGGCAGACGGAGGTTGACTTAAAATCAGTCCAGATGACACACAGTCCGTAAACAGTATTGCCTTCTAGGAATGTGAATCTGACTGGAAAAGCCTGAGGAGCTGAATGCTGAGGGCTTAGGTTTACTGGATAACCCAAACTAAAATATGCACCCATTGCTACTTTTGGGGTTCACTGAATTCCAGCACTAAATTTGGAGAAGGTCTGGGGATTACTCTGTGCTTCGATTCAGCCATCCCTGCCGTGCATCAGTGTCTCCTTTCTGTGCTGATCTCTTCCTTCATTCATAGATGGTTCTGGCCGTCCTCCATCTCACCGGCCAAATCTTGTTTCATTTTGCTGGGTATCTGATCTCTGATTTCTCCAGCTGTTAGTCACAGTTCTGCCTCCAAAGCCCAGTATCTTTGAATTTTGAGCTCTACCCAGAGCCATTCCAATTGCTGTTTCTCTTCTTGAACTGTACACATTTGTTTTTTTTT